TTGTGTCTAGCTTCTTTCACTTAGCATCATGTTGTCAAGGTTCATCTGCCTTGTAGCAGGTGTCAGCACCTCGTCCCTTTTTCTGGATAAATACTATTCCACTGTGTGGATAGACCACGGCTTATCCAGTCATCGGGTGATGGGCATTGGGTTCACTCCACTTTTTAATTTACGGATAATGTTGCTATGAACATGCTTGTGCATGAAGAAGTTTCCGCATAAGAGTGCGCTTACCACAATGAGCACCTTGTAATGTATTAATGTATCGAATCGTTGAATCACTGTATTGTACACTGAAACTAAGAGAACTGTTGTATGTTAGCTATATTGGAGTTAAAATTAGAAGAATTATTTATGACATTTGTTTTTTTAAAAAGGGTGGGGCAGCTTCCAAGCCCTGAACAGCTCTCAGCTTGCAGAGCCTCTGGTCACTGTACGGATTTGACCCCAGTGGGCTGTGTGACCATGAAAGGGTCCCTTCCCTCTCTGCTTGAGTCTCCCCATCTTTCCAGACAGGAGCCTGTGCCCTTTTATGCACAGATATTCTGTGCCTTGTTCACATTCCTGGAAGAGCAGGGGAATGTGTGCAGGAAATGATAAACAGTTTGTATTTATAGCTGCTGAGCCAAAGGTGGGCATCCCCGTGATCAGCCACCAGAGCCGACAATTAGGAGGAGGGCTTGGCTCCAGCACCCCCCGGGTCCCACCCTGAGGACTCCCCCGAGAGAGCCCAAGCCTCCTCCCCCGTTTTGGTGCAGACAGGTGGGTTCCAGGATCCAGAATCTCCTCACAGGGAGGGAATTTGAGGACTGCCTCCAAGTCCCTTGTCCCAGCTTTTGCCTTTGCTCCCCGGGTTCCTGGAGTCCTGCCCAAACCTGATTGGGCTCAGATCCCAGGCAAACAGGGCTGGAGATGCAGAGGCCCAGACAGAGTTTTGAGCAAAACCTGGGAGGGCTCTGGGTGTTGGCCGGTCCCCCCATCCCTGGGGTCCATCCGGAGACTGGGTCAAAACTGTCTGGGTTTGAGAACAGAGCCCAAGCTTGTAGGATGTCTGCTGCCTTAGCCAGGCACTGGGGTCCACAGACCTAAGCAACCAGTCCAGGGGCTGGGGGTGGGGGCGATGATAAACTACCCAGATAATAACTTAGTAACATAATGTGTATTAAGTGGCTGTTATGTGGTAAGTGCTCAATTGCTTCCATCTCGATTCTAGACACAAGGAAATGGAGGTTCCGAGAGGGGAAATGATTTGTCCAACCAGCTCATAAATAAGTGTAAGGCTGGGGATAATAGCAACAAAAGCTGAGAATTCGCTGAATTCTCATTGCAGCCTTGCCCTGGACACCTCCTCCCCCACCCCTCAGTCTTACAGATAAGGAAACTGAGGCACAGAAGGTTCAACACCCATTTGGAAGGTCCCCAGCCACTTCCTGGCTGGGGAAGTGTGGCCCTGACTCTAAAGGCTTCAGTGGGTTCAGGAAAGAAAACTATCTTGTGAGCAGGGCCAGGAGAGGGTGCAGAGAAAGACCCTGCATGCTGCCTTCGGAGAAGGAGGCTTGAGGTGCTCTGACCTTCCCAACACAGCCCTGAGCAGCAGGCAGCCCTCCCCCAGGACCCAGTGAGGCCTCCACCCCCTTTTCTTCTTTTCTAGGCATCCTGAGGCTGAGAGGAGGGACGGGGAGGGCGCATCCTCAGGTACAAAGGTGGTGTCCGCCTTAAAATAACAAGCCCTAAGGACTGTACATAATATGCCAGGTGCATAATTCATGCGTCTGTCAGCAGAACAGCAATTATGTGGGCCTTCCCTGGAGTTGTCTAGGGGTTAGAAACTGGCTCGGGCTTCCCTTGCCAGCCTCTGGGGGAAATGGGACCTCCCAGCTGTTAAAGGAACAGGCTCCCCAGGAATCGGGAATCAGCTCCTTTCCTGCAGGCTCCCTCCTGGCTGGGGGGGGGTCAGCGCCTAGAACCGCAGCCTGCCGGGCTCAGCCCAAGACCCTGGCTGGCCGCCCCCACAAAGTCAGGCCCACCTGTGCTGGTAACTCTACGTGCATAATCTCCTTGTCCCCCAGTCTACAATTTATAAGGGGCTGGCTACCAGTATTCCCCAGGGTTTCTCAACCGTGGTACTATCGACATTTCGAGCCAGGTAATTCTTCATTGTGAGGCTGTCCTGTGCGAAGTAGGATGTTCAGTAGTAGCATCTTCCTCCCCCAAGTTGAGACAACCAAAAATTTCTGTGCAGTTTGCCAAATATCCCCTGGGAGGGGGGTCAAAATCATCCCCAGTCATGAATGACTAGAATATCCCCATTTTACACATTTGAAAACTGAGGCAGGCAAAGTTTCAATGCCAAGGCCACCCAGCTGGGTTCTACCTCTAGGACCCATGCTCCTAACTCAGTGCAGGAGTTGCCAAAGTATGCTGCCCAAATGCTTTATTCCAATAAGCACATATTTGTGTTAATGAATGTTTAACATCCCTTTTCCTGGTACCCAAACTCAGCATCTTTGCAAATGTCATTTCTCAGGACGAGACTAAAATAGAACAGAGAAGGTGAGCCGTGTTTGTTGTTGTTGTTGTTGTTGTTGTTGTTGTTGTTGTTGTTGTTGTTTTACTACTGAGTAAAGAGTACAGGCAGCAAAAGGACACATACAGTAGGACGTCAGTCCTGAGCAAGACACAGTACCAATTTGTGAGGGCCATCTACCTCTGCATTAAACACTACAGATGGGGCACCTGCATGGCTTGGTCGCTGAAGCATCCGACTCTTGGTTTCGGCTCAGGTTATGATCTCACGGTTCGTGGGTTTGAGCCCACATCGGTTCTGCACTGTCACTGTGGAGCCTGCTTGGAATTCTCTTTCTACCTCTCCCTCTGCTCCTCCCCTGCTTGAGTTCTCTCTCTCTCTTAAAAAAAAAAAAAAAAAGGGGGGCGCCTGGGTGGCGCAGTCGGTTAAGCGTCCGACTTCAGCCAGGTCACGATCTCGCGGTCCGTGAGTTCGAGCCCCGCATCAGGCTCTGGGCTGATGGCTCAGAGCCTGGAGCCTGTTTCCGATTCTGTGTCTCCCTCTCTCTCTGCTCCTCCCCTGTTCATGCTGTGTCTCTGTCTCAAAAATAAATAAAAGTTAAAAAAAAAAAATTAAAAAAAACTCTACAGAAAAGACAAAGGAGGAGAAAAATTTCTGGGGACCTGTGAGAAGTGTCACCATTTCTGTTGTGTACCCTGTTTCTTCGCCTGGGTGGTGGGTTCGTGGGTGTTCTTTTGATTATGGTTCGGAAATATATATAAACTTGACCTACTTTTGTGTATCGGATATTTCTTTTTATAAAGTGATTACAGAATTTTACTTTTCCGGTGAATGCAAATCAAGGTATTAACACTCAAAAGCTTTTGTTTAAAAGACACAGGGTACTTGGGGGGGACACCTGGCGTGGCTCGGTCAGTTAAGTGTCTGACTTCGGCTCAGGTCATGATCTCACAGTTCATGAGTTCGTGCCCCGCATGGGGTTCTCTGCTGTCAGCATACAGCCTGCTTTGGATCCTCTGTCTCCTCTTTCTGCCCGTCCCATGCTCATACTCTCTCTCTCTCTCTCTCAAAGATTAAAAAAAAAAAACATTAAAAATAAATAAAAAATAAAAGACACAGAATACGTTGAACATGAGTACAGCAAAAACAAACAAACAAACAAAAAACAAAAAACCAGGAAGTTGATAGAGCACCTGAGGTTGGAGAAATGCATAACACATCCTTTCGGCATCTGGGCTGGTGGAGAAAGAGCTTTCTTGCTGCTAATGGTGCCCCCGGTGCCTAGCAAAGTGCTTCACATGTTGTACATGATCAATAAATAGTAGCCAGATTGACAACTGAATTCTGGTCCTGTTCCTTCCGCTTGTCACTCTGTGAACTTGGACTAGCCCCTGCCCTGGGCTAGGTGCTAGGAGTGCGAGGGGTGCAGAGACAAAGCTCTGAACCCATCCCTCGTCCCCCCGGAAGCTCACGGATTCTGGGCAGTGATGAACACACATGCCTCTGTAATGGGATGTGTTGTAAAAGCACTCAAGGGAAGGCGAAGTGGTGAGGGACCCCGAAGGACGGAGCGGCCAGTCCCACCAGGAATGACCTCTACAGAGAGGGGTCACGTGGGCTGGGTTTTTAAAGATGGCACAGACATGCGGGATCGGCCAAAAATGGCGTGTGGCCAGAGAAGTGTGACGTTTGGGAACCTGTGGCAGGAGAGACCCAAAGAGAGGGGTCGAAGTAGGCTTGACCACCCTGTGTTGTGCGTGAGGACTGATTGCAAAGGACGGAAAACTCCCACGTGCAAGCAGCAATGGCATTTGCTCACGGGATATAACAGGACACTTGGGGACGGGGCAGGAAACAAAGGCCAGCTGAGCCACGCAGAGCCTGGGTGGTCTCGGCTGACGGCATGTTGTGGGCTGAGGGCTGAGAGGTCGCCCCCAAGAAGATAGCGGGTGTTTATCAGACACTCCCCGTGTGCTGCTGGAAGCTGTCCTAAGCACTTTGCACACGTTAACTCCTTGACTTTTCATAGCAGCTCTCTGAAATAGACACTGTATTGGCCCTCCCATTTTGCAGATGAAGAAACTGAGGCTTAGGATAAACACCTGGCTCCAGGTACGGAAGTGGCAGAGCTGGGATTTAAACCCCAAACAACCTGACACCAGAGTCCAAGCTCTTAAATTGTTGCTCCTCACGCTGTCTTTCAAACCTGCTGTGTCCTCACTGCTGACCCCTCGGGCTAGAACAGTTAGCTTGAAATCATTGCGGTCTCCGGGCTTTGGTTTTGAATGGATTCAGAAAAACAAAAATGGATTTGAATGAATGATCTTTTTAGCTCAAACAACCAGTCATTAAGTGACAAGTGAGATGTGACAGTGCCCTTGAACTGTTGAGGAGCACCCCGCAGAGTCAGGGTGTTAGGATGATCATCCTACTGGAGGTCGGTAACTAAATCCCCGCTCTCTTCTCCTTGCAGATCCTTGCCATCATTTCCATCATGTTCATTGTCCTCTCCACCATTGCCCTGTCGCTCAACACGCTGCCCGAGCTGCAGAGCCTTGACGAGTTCGGCCAGACCACAGACAACCCCCAGCTGGCTCACGTGGAGGCCGTGTGCATCGCGTGGTTCACCATGGAGTACCTGCTGCGGTTCCTCTCCTCACCCAAGAAGTGGAAGTTCTTCAAGGGCCCACTCAACGCCATTGACTTGTTGGCCATCTTGCCCTACTATGTCACCATCTTCCTCACCGAATCCAACAAGAGTGTGCTGCAGTTCCAGAATGTCCGCCGCGTGGTCCAGATCTTCCGCATCATGCGTATCCTCCGCATCCTCAAGCTCGCACGCCACTCCACCGGCCTCCAGTCCTTGGGCTTCACCCTGCGAAGGAGCTACAATGAGCTGGGCTTGCTCATCCTTTTCCTCGCCATGGGCATCATGATCTTCTCCAGCCTTGTCTTCTTTGCCGAGAAGGACGAGGATGACACCAAGTTCAAAAGCATCCCGGCCTCTTTCTGGTGGGCCACCATCACCATGACGACGGTTGGGTATGGAGACATCTACCCCAAGACGCTCCTGGGGAAGATTGTCGGAGGACTCTGCTGCATTGCAGGTGTCCTGGTGATTGCTCTTCCCATCCCGATCATTGTCAATAACTTCTCTGAGTTCTACAAGGAGCAGAAGAGGCAGGAGAAAGCAATCAAGCGGAGAGAGGCTCTGGAGAGAGCCAAGAGGAATGGCAGCATTGTCTCCATGAACATGAAAGATGCTTTCGCCCGGAGCATCGAGATGATGGACATTGTGGTAGAGAAAAATGGAGAAAATATGAGTAAGAAGGACAAAGTACAAGATAATCACTTGTCTCCCAACAAATGGAAATGGACAAAGAGGACACTATCTGAAACTAGCTCAAGTAAGTCCTTTGAAACCAAGGAGCAGGGATCCCCTGAGAAGGCCAGATCATCTTCCAGTCCTCAGCACCTGAACGTCCAGCAGCTGGAAGACATGTACAATAAGATGGCCAAGACCCAATCTCAACCCATCCTCAATACCAAGGAGTCAGCAACACAGAGCAAACCAAAGGAAGAACTTGAAATGGAGAGTATCCCCAGCCCTGTAGCGCCTCTGCCCACTCGTACAGAAGGGGTCATCGACATGCGAAGCATGTCGAGCATCGATAGCTTCATTAGCTGTGCCACAGACTTCCCCGAAGCCACCAGATTCTCCCACAGCCCTTTGGCCTCACTCCCCAGCAAGACTGGGGGTAGCATGGCCCCAGAGGTGGGCTGGCGGGGAGCTCTGGGTGCCAGTGGTGGGAGATTTGTGGAGGCCAACCCCACCCCTGATGCCAGCCAATCCTCTTCTTTCTTCATTGAGAGCCCCAAGAGTTCTATGAAGACGAATAACCCCCTGAAGCTACGAGCACTTAAAGTCAACTTCATGGAGGGTGACCCCAGTCCACTAGTCCCCGTTCTGGGGATGTACCATGACCCTCTTAGGAACCGGGGGGGTGCAGCTGCTGTCGCTGGGCTAGAGTGTGCCACACTCTTGGACAGGCCTGTACTGAGCCCAGAGTCCTCCATCTATACCACAGCAAGTGCTAGGACACCCCCCCGGTCGCCTGAGAAACACACAGCAATAGCATTCAACTTCGAAGCAGGTATCCACCAGTACATTGATGCGGACACAGACGATGAGGGGCAGGTTCTCTACAGTGTAGATTCCAGCCCTCCCAAGAGCGTGCATGTGAGCACCAGTCCCAAGTTCAGCGTCGGGACAAGATCAGAGAAGAACCACTTTGAAAGCTCCCCCTTACCCACCTCCCCTAAGTTCTTAAGGCAGAACTGTATTTACTCGACAGAAGCATTGACTGGAAAAGGCCCCAGTGGTCAGGAAAAGTGCAAACTCGAGAACCACATCTCCCCCGACGTCCGCGTGTTGCCAGGGGGAGGAGCCCACGGAAGCACACGGGATCAGAGCCTCTGAGCTACCCTTCCTGCAGCAGAGACTTGTGGCAAGACCTAAGAGGCGTGCTGTTCAGCTGACCTGCCGCAGAGCTTTTCCGCACGAACTCAGACAGACAGGCTCTGCAGAGCCCCCAGGCAGAAGAGAGACTCCAGAGGAGGCTCCCTAGGGCCTGGAGAGCCATGACAGGTACAACAGGATGAAGTGGGCCAAGCCACAGGCTATGGCGTCTCCTTGTAACAACTCTGCTGCCCTCTTTGGGAGATGACATGGGCAGAACTCATAGCCACCACTACCACATGCTAGACCTCACCAAGACTACCTAGTCCCCACTTTTCTGTCACGGCTCTCCATCGCAGCCTCAGGGGGCAACATCTCCATCCCTTGGGCTTCGGCTGGAGACGGACGCTGGACAACAACAAGTGGCCGGGTTGACCAATTTCGTTTTGGGCATTGCCCAGCCACCTCTAGGAACTCCTGTCCATCGCCTCCTGGATGGATCCCACTGTCAGAAGGCTGTAGAGGATGCTTGTGTCGTGGGGAAATTTCTGCGCCATAAACCACGGTCCCAGCGCAAAACCCTTCCTCAGATGTCTTCATCGACTTCAGTGTTCCGTAGTACCTGAGATTTTATTTTGAGATATCATCAGGGTGAGTTGCACCACTTGTTCCCGATTCTAACTGCCCCCCGGCAACGTGGGAAGGGTTCAGACGGCAGGCACTCAGCCAACAGTGTGAACTGTGAACATTGCTTTAGGGTTGTATAAGAAAAACCCTCTCTGTACATCACTAGCAGACTCAAAAGATATGCAAGAGTCAAATATGCAAAAGAAATAGCTTATTCAAAGAGACTGTATGTTACCGAAGAACAGAATAAAATCTGATTTTTTTTTTTTCCCTCAAAAAAGGGAAAAAAAAAAAACCCCCAATTGAAATGCCCAGTTCAGACTTTTGAATACTTCCTGTGGCAGCAGGGGAAGCATCTACTATGATAGAAATTCTTTTTTGTTTCCTGTGGTATTCAAGTTTAAAAAAAAAAAAAAGTTAAAATAAAAAGCACTTTATGTTTTTCAAAAATAGGTTCTACCAGGGACAGTGTCAACATCTTGCACTTTAAAACAAGCCCTATTTCCCGTGGGCCACTTTTTGGGACTACAGTTGGGCTGTTAACTACATGCCTGTGTCGGGCCACGGCGGGTGATGTTGTGCGGGTATTGCTGTCCGCCATGTTGAAGTCTGTGGGCTCCTTCCTCGTCCCTCTGAAGCTTCCTGTGAGCCCTGGAGTGGGGCCTCTCACAGAGTCCCGTGTGCAGGAGACACGCACATCTCGGAAGAACACAGTAGGCGGTGGGCACTGGGTGTTTACTCTGTTCTCTTTCTCGTCAACCAGCTGTTGGTATGTTTTCAGTGTCACTGTCTGTACTAAAACTCAGCTCTCCATCAATGCAGCTAGTACAGACAAAAGCAATAAGTATTTGTGTGCGTTGTGAGTGGTTCCGGTGTATTTCTTGGTGTTGGTCTCCCTGTCCTAGTTCGACGACCTGGCGTTGGCCTGCCTGATTTTGGGTCCAGTAAGGACGGTGGTGTGGGCCGTTCCTCAGTTCAGACACATTGGGTTGAGCCACCGGTTAGCATGATGCCCTGCTGTTGGCCCATCTGTCAGTCAAGATGACGTATCTGCCTGTCTTTAGTACAACGGACCGATGTCGTTCCCTAAATACAACGTGGATGGACGATGTCCCAAGTACAGTAGTGTAGATCTGCCGGTCCACAGCATGGTGACAGGCACACGTCTTCCTGATGGAACAAACATGGTGTGGGTCTCCTGTTCCTCATACAATGTGTCATTGGTCTGCCTGTGAGTGTGATGGCATGAGCCACCTGTCAGTACACAAATAATCAGAGTCATTCTGCCTGCCCTCTGCACAATGGCATGCGGTTGGACCACCTGTCACAGGTGTCCACAGGAGTCATCCCACCGCCCTTAAAAACACCTGTGCTCTGCTGAATATGTACCTGGTTCCTACTGCTTCTCAGTGTCTCTGGGGACTGTGGATCCTTCCAAGAGGGTGCAGTCCTGTTCTTTGCTGTGTTAACAAAGGCTACGATGCCGATGCCGAAGTATCTTGCCACTCTGAGGTATCTTCAGAGCATCCTCGCAGCCACTGCAAAGGGACTTAAGGGGCAGGGAAAGTGTGAGGTCATCCTGTGCTGGTAGCACCAGAGAGAGAGGAAGCAGCCACGCCCCCAAGCGCTTTGCCGGGCACACAGCGTGGGGCTGGGGGCCTACTGAGGAGCGGCCGACGGACAGTCCTCCCCGGCCCATCTCATCTCACCTGCCTCTTCTTTGTTTTCGTGACCATTTATGTCGGCCATCAGCACAAACGTGAAAATTCAGGGAAAACAAATGCTTTTTGATAAAAGTAAATAGTTGTGATTTCCGATTCCGATATTTTTAGAGCTGATGCTATCTGTAAAAATTAGTAACAATAGTAATATAGTCTATTTTACATATCAGGAAAGTGAACATGTTTAAATATAGCCATATACAGCGAGAAGGAACTTACCACCCCTTCTTCAAATCAAGGCATTTCATTTGTTGGTTGAAGCCGATGAGAAGTGTACAGATTGGATATGATTTTTTTTTCTTTCTTTTTCTTTTTTTTTAACTAATAACCAATTGGTGCAACTCTCCTTGTAACCAAAGGCCCTTTCTGCCTTGTGTGGTCACACAGGACCTGGCCCTTCCTTCCCTGTGTAGTTTGTCTGACCTTAAAGTAGCATTTTATGGAGTCACTTTTGAAGGACGAATTCAGAAGTATCATTAAGAACCTACCTTTTCAGGCTTACTAGCCAGAGTCCTATAGAGTTCTTATAGAAACAGAATAATTGAAACTCAGCATATACTATGCTTAGAAAGTATTGCATTATGTTTTGGTTTTTTTTTTTTTTCCTTTTACTTGTGTATGTATTGTGGGAATATAGCTTTTCCCCTGTGCCCAATTCAAAATAGAGTATTGTAAGTTTTCCCAGGCCCCACCTGCCAAAAAGGAGCATACCCCGATTTTTAATACGTGTACACCCTACCTGTACCTGTGTATATGCACTGGGAAATCTACCTAAGAGTCTCCACTGAGAAGCTGACCTTGACAGACAGGTCCTCACGGAAGAGAGGAAGGCATGGTCTGGAGGCAAATACCACTTTACCTTGGTGATCCATATCACACCCATTCCTGAACCAACAAAAACGGGGCGGGGGGGGGGGGGGAAAAAAACAAGTCAACCCAAAGAAACCAAGCTAGGGGCTCGCGCGGGTGGATGCCTGGTCCCTTTGGCGAACTCCGTGAAATTCGCCGAGAACCCAGCCGGACTTGGCTTCCAACTTCCGCCATTATCAGTAAGGGCTAGGGACCAGGCGGCTGTGTGTCCCGATCACACAGGGGAGTCTGCGACCTGCAGAGGGAGGAGGGCCAGCTCTGGAGGAGTTGGTTTTTTCTTTTTTTTTTTTTTTTTTTTTTATCTTTGGGTAAAAAAAAAAAAAAGAAAAAAACAGGGCTTTGGTGCAGTAGATTTCTCAGTGCCTTCTTTAGGAATTTTATCTTAAGCACACTTAATCGGGAAAGAAAGAAGAGGAGAGGACATTTGTTCCCGTGAAAGCCCTTTCTCTAAAAGCACTGGGGATCAAGAAGAAAGAAGAAGACGGAGAACGGCAAAATCCTGAGGAGACCACTTCCTTTCAACTCACCCGGCTTGACCCCCACCCCACCCCCCCACCCCCGCCCCCAAAGTGCTGGTGACCACAAACTTGGCCAAACTGACTCCCAGCTCTCCTCCACCGCCTCTTGGTGACTAGCTTCAGCCCTGCCCTCTCCCCTAATAAGATCCCCTTTTCTGAGGAGAAAAAGAAACAGTATTCTCTTCTGCAAAACTGTGACGTATTCATGTTTGTAACTATCGTACGTTTCTGTCTTGCTCCAAGTCATGGCTGGAGTGTCTAGTCCATGGACAAGGGGAAATTCAAACTTCATCGCGGACAAGGGTCACTGGAGCCAGGTCTCTCTCTCTCTCTCTCTCTCCCCGTCTCTCTCCTCCTCCCCCCCCCACCCCCTCCCTCGCTTCTTAGTTCTCTGCTAACTAGCCCCAAGTAACATAACCCCAGGCTTCAGCCTCCAGTTAGGTAACTTGGAATCCGAGGAGAGCCAGGCAAACCGCCTCGAGGGCATGATCCTTTTTGGGAAATGGCTCTTCCTGTGGCGAGAGGAAGAAGAGGTCACCTCCGCCACCCCCAACCGGACAGTGGAGAGCCTCCAGCCCTGAGTTACAGTTTCCCGTTTCTCACCACATACATGACCGCATCCAAATGCTTTCGCTCAGCCAGGGGGACCCAGACCAGCCTGGCTACGCCCAGAAATAAGAAAGTTACCTCTGCATTTTCTGTTGCTGCTTACGTCGTAGGATATCCATGTGTCTCAGAGTAGCCTCTTTTTCTGTTCAGATAAAAAGTATATAGGTACATAGGTGTTTTTAGCCAATTTGTAATAGGGCCGCTTCGTCTCATGGCTACTTTTGTAATCTAGAATAACGTCTTAGGAGTTTTATTGTTGGGTCATCACCATAGCTGATACTCTCTGGTCTTTTTCATTTCCTCCCATTGCCCCTTGGGCTTGCTTTCTTTTCTTCCTTTTGATTCTGACTTTCTGGGGATAGGGAAAGACTTGGGGTTCTGACCTGCTCACGCAGGCGTTTCCTGACACTTGGCCTAGAGTCTGTGGACACTGTTACTTCCCTCGTTCCGTGTGTTTCTTCTGTTCTTAACAATCCTGGGCCTGGATGCAGGAGTGAGACCAGGAGAAGCAGGGCCGTGAATGGCCCTCAAGATTCGGATAGAATGTGGGCTGGTTCAGCTCATTCTCCCCCACCCTGCTGGCACTTGGAAGAGACTGAATTTTCTCATCCCCAGAGATCTTGGAACCAAAAATCTCTTGCAAGCAAACTTCCTGCCGGGGTCCAGGATACACCTAAGCCCCTCTCAGCTGGCCTGTTGCAACACCCCTGCTCCCTTGTAACATCAGTTGGAACCGAAGGCCGGAGCATTTTCAGGTTCTTGCAAACCTCGGAGAACATGCTGGGGCCTCAGATCTCATGAACTTGTTACCAGGTCCTCATTTTAATCCATTTCCAACAGCCTCACCAAAAAGCAATAGACAAGCCTGCAGCCGAACCCGGAGAAGACGTGTCCCCCAGAACCTGCCAGCGCATCTGCCCTCCCCTTAGCACCCGAGACGTGTGGCAAGGGCAGTGGTGTTTCTCCAGTTCCCACCTATCCAGGCCCCGGGGAGTTTCTGGAGTGTCCTGATGAATCCCCCCCCCCACACAGCTTCCAGCCTCAGGTGGGCAGAGGACATCTCAGGAAGCAGGATCTTCAGCAGAAAGTGATTCTCCACTCTTCAACTCCTACAGGAAATTGAAGAAAACCCAGATAATCTTCAGCTTCCATTCATTTAGGTGTTCATACCCCCACCTGCCTCACTGTTGGCTTCAGGACTGTGGCCTCTGGCCAGATCAGAGATTTGAGCCGAATCTGGACCCCCATGGCAGTGAACCATCCCTTTGGATAAACCCCAAGAGGAAACCAATCGAAGGACAAATGTATTATTCTGGACTATGACCCTAATCGGAGTTTTGCTACCCCCAAAAGTTCCTGGTAATCTGGTTTGGACCAGAGCCAAATAAAACAGACGAGATTTTTAAAAACTTTTGCACAAGAACAAAACAAAATTGTCTCCTAGTAGTTTGCTAGGTTTGATGCCCAGATAAGCAAACAGTCTAGCCTGTGGCTGTTTTCATCTAGAGGGAGATTGTGTCATTTGGGCTTCCCTCCACTGCCCCTGGTTTTGTCTTAACCTGGAATTTCTCCTGGACTTCCCCAAATGCCAACCTGACGAAATGGATTTGGAAGGGGCTCTGGTGAATCCAGCAGTCCCTCATCTTTTTCTTCCCTCCGATTCTAACTCTCCGTTCTTCTCTGCGGAGATCCCGAAAAGATCTTCTAAGGGCTGGCCAGGATGGGGAGGGAGGGGGGCAGTTCTCCTGAAGAAGACGTCATCTGCCTGCAGGATGGCTGCGAGCGAGCCTCTGAGTGAAGCCTCTCTCTTGAGTGAGAGGAACAAGGTGGTCAGTTTCAGCTCAAGTTAAGGAAGTGCTTCCCGCAGGTGGGGCTGCCTCACCACGGAAGTCGGTGCCGTGTTGGGGGATGAGCTGATGAAAAGACGCTATAGACCATGCACAAAATGGATGTTGCAGAGAGACCCTCACTTTGCATGGCAAGTGGACTGAACAACCAGGGCAATTCTTCTCTCTCTGGGGTGTGTGTGTGTGTGCGTGTGTGTGTGTGCGTGCGTGTGTGGTTTGGACATCTAGGCACAGGCTCAAAGCCTTGAGGCAAAAGCAGGGATTACAGTTAGCAGGAATTCAAATTCTAGGATTTGGAATTTTCTTCAGGGGTGCCAGGGAAGGAAGTGGCAGCAAGATACCCTGCTTCCCCTGTGCTTCCTATCTTGGGTAATTTTAATGACCCAACCTGTCCCCAGTGCCCTAACAGGAGCCACACTGGCTGGGATGAGGCTTATGCTGCCCTCCCCAGACCAGCCAAGGAACAGTCCCTCTCTGGCTGACCATGTCACGGTGCTGCTCTTCTGCCCAGACCCTGTGCCCTCATGGGCCTGAGGCTTTCTGTACAAGAGATGCAATGATCTTTTATCCATTAGCCAGCACCATTCCAAAAGGGCTCCCCCCCCCCAACCGGCAAATAAAACAGAAAATCCCATTTAAGATGTTTGAAAATCCCCACCCAATGAAGTAAATTCAGAAGGACCAAAAGAGAGAAGCAGATGTAATCCATTTTTACAGCAAAACTAGGCTTCAGCTGCCCGGTCGCCCACATCTCTAGCCCCTTCCCAAGCGGGTCTGGATACTGCATTCTCCAAGGAGACCATTTGACAGAAGAAGTTTTAAAGTACCGCCCCCCCCCCCCCACACACACAACTGTGTCTGGTGGGTTTGGAGGAGGTGGGCCTTCCTCCTCAGGAAGACCCCCAGTCCAGGCAGTGATAGGTGGTTTTATTATGAAGTGAGGCAGGACAATAGGTTTGCATGGATAGCCTGATCAGCTACTTTCCTTCAAAACAAAATGAAACAAAAACCCAGTTCCCAAGATCCCCCTTTGAGGCCCTGTCCTGCAGAAATAGCTCACGTTAACGGCTCCAAAGGCATGACGGTTCTAGAAAACGAAGGAGGCTCCCAATTCTGTTCCATTAAGATGCTCTCGAGGATCATATGTGGATCGTCCCACGCTTCTTGCCTCCCGAGCTAATCCAGGTTTGGCCAACAAGGAAGGAAGCACAAGAGAAGATGCCCAAGAGATTCAGACTTCTCTGTGGCTTTGGATCGTGGCCCCCTAAGGCTTCACTAGGGTTTCGGGCTCTCTCTTTGGTAGGCTTGACATCTAAGCTCCCGGTGTCTGAAGGATGGAGAAAAGGAAAATCAGCAGCTGCTGAGCTGGGGGCAAGTTGGTCTCTTTGCTCTCCAGACCTCCTGGCTTTGATCCAAAGGCAAGAGCTGGAAACACCATTTTCTGCACCAGGAACTCAGGGTTATCCCCCAGTGTATGCCCTTGGCACATAGTGGTCGCCCAACCCGTGTTCCTTTGAGTGAATGAATGTGTAAATGATTGACTTCCAAATGAGCGAATGTGTGGGTGAATACAGGAGTTAATTAGTTCTTACCCAGCTTGAGGTATTGCTAACTGGGAAGGAAAGAGAAATGGCGGGGCGGGGAGAGGGGGCTCTCATTAAAACCTGTAAGCCCCACCAATGCCATCTAGCCTTTGATTCAATTAGGGGCCAAGGTGATGTCCAAATTTGACACTTGTCTGCCCCCAGGGCCCTGGTCTTCTCAGAGCAACACTTCCAGGGGCCCCATGGGGCAGCCCCAGCCTCCTTCCTACTCTCCTATCCTGCATTTTCAGCCTCATGTTCTAGTTTAGCTCACAAAGAAGGGATTTCTCCTGGTCTGGGACTTGCTGGGGCAGGAATTTGGGAGCTGACATCTGGAAACTGGATTGCAATCCCTGAGCCATGGGAGTCCAGCTGGAAAAGAGGGCCAGCCTGCCCTCCAACTTTGAGAGCCAACGGGTTTTCCTATTTTCTGAGCCCCAGTGTCTCCCTTGGTAGCATGTGCCCCAACTCCATTAGCTAAGACCCTCTGTCTCACCCAGGAACTATGGTGTGAGGTTGAGGCTTTTCTGCCAGCAAAGCCATTCTGATTACCCCACCCATGATGGGGGCCAAGCCAATCACATTAGCCATAAGTGACCAATGTCCTTAGCCGCTCTTCTCTCGGGGTCGCATTTGTGGGTCCTGTTCATCTCTGGTCAGTTGATGTCTCTAGTCCTTCCTGTAAAGGTGACAATGAGCATTGTGTGTGCGTGCTCAGACACACACACACACACACACACACACACACACACACACACACACAAAGAAACCAAACAACAAAAAAACCCGTGTCTTTTTATGCATGTGATGGGATGAAATTGTGACCTCCAGCTGCTGTCCTGTCTTGTAAAATATGTCCAAATGTTTAAGAATTTCTAAGCAAATGGTCCTTTAATGAAGTATGCACAGTTCAATAAAAAGGTATGGAGAAAACAAGCTTGGTGGAGTTTGTTTTATTTTCTGGAGGGCACAGGGAGATGGGGGGCAGGTGAAGATCTGCACAAGAAGCTGAATTGGGGGAGGTGGGGGGGCAGCACTGATTGCCTTCACCTGAAAGAGGGTACGAAAATGTAACCGGCTTGTCACCCCAGTAGGCAAGCAGCGGTAACCCACCCCATGCTGTGTTCATGGACCAAAGTCCAAATTCTGGTTATTTGGCTCTCGTGTCAGCTGTACCTGGGTATTCTCGGCCTTACTACCACTCTCTCATCAAAGTGTCTCATGGGGCCTTGGGGACACACACACACACACACACACACACACACACACACACACACCTTTTACAATCTGTCCCCTTCTCTGCTTCATTGTTCTCCATAACACCACCTCTGACACACTATATTTTATTTATGTATTTTGTTTATTGTTTAACTCGCTTCAATAGAACATAAATCCCTCCCTCTGAGAGAACACAGATTCCAAACCTGGAAAGCGGAGAGAATAAAGACTAAAAAAACAAAACAGCAACAACAACAAAAACAAAACAGAACATCCAAGGACCACGTGTGTATCTGTGTGTTTTGCTTTTTTTTTCTTTTTTTGCCCCACACAAATAGTAACATACCATAAACTGTTCTGCATATTGCTTTTGTCATTTAATATATCTTGAAAATCATTCTGTATTTCTGTATTAACGCACAAAGAGCTTTCTCATTCTCCTGGGAAGCCTGTGCTGTGTGCTATTATGCACAGTAATGGCTAGTCTCCTACAGCTGACCATTAAGGTTGCTTCCAAACTTTTGTGATAACAAACAGTGCTAAAATGAATGGCCTGTCAGCGGTTCCTGTGGGCTCTGCCTCCAAAATAGATTTGGAATCTGTGCTCCTCAGCCCTGCACTGCCACAGCTCTGGGCCACACCGTCATTGTCTATTGCCTAATGATTACAGCAGCCTCCAGACCACATTCTCCGGTTCCACCCTCGATCCCTTTCAGGCTCTTCTCAGCACAGTGGCCAGAGGGATCCTGTCAAACTGTCAGTCTGATCATGTCACTTTGTCATCAAAATGTTCCAAAGGCTTCTCATCACATTTTGAATAAACTCCAAAGTCCTTGGCACTATCTGCAAGGCCTTACATCCCCTGGTCCCACCTGTCTCTTTGATTTCACTTCCCATTGCTGTCCCCTGAGGGTGCTGGGCTCCATTGTCGCTGGTCTCCTCACTGTTCCTCAGACATGCCCAGTGTGGACTCACCCAGTGACGCTGTCCCTTTCCAGCCTCCCTCCCAGACTCCTCAATCCTCTTTGATCCCCTAGCTTATTACTCTTCCCTTCCCTCACTCCCCTTCAGACACAGTGGCCACCATTCAATTTTCGAATACGCCAAGCACACTTCCACCCCAAGGCCTTTGCACTGGCTGTCCCCTCTGCCTAGAACATCTTTTCCAAGCTAGCCACATGGTTCATTCCCTCACCAGCTTCAGGTTCACCTTCTCAGCATCCCCTTTATCTGAAAATCCTAGGTATAATGGCAACCTCCCCCCCCTGCACACACACGTGCACCTGTCACCTCTATCCCCTTATGCGTTTGTTGTTTCTCCATAACACTATCTCTGACACACTATATTGTCACTTCCCTCCAATAGATCATAAATCCCTCCCTTCAGTAGAGCATAAATTCAAAAACTAAAAATCAAAGAGGATAAAGACTAAAAGAAACAGAAGATCCAAGGACTGTGGGACAGTTACCAAAGGAATAACATCTGCATAATGGGAATACCAGAAAGAGAAGAAAGAAAGAGGGAAACAGAAGAAATATTTGAAATGATAATGACTGAGAATTTCCAAAAGTTAAAATCAGACACGGAACCACAGATCCAGGAAGCACCAAGAAGCATTACTTTCCCAAAATAACTACAGTAGGCATGTCATTTTCAAACTACAGAAAAATCAAAGATAAGAAAAAATCCTGAAAGAATCCAAAGGAAAAAACACCACACCCTATAAAGGACCCAAGATAAGAATCACATCTGACTTCTCAGAAACCATGCAACAGGAAGTGAGTGGAATTGAAGATTTCAAGTGTTGGCGGGGGGGGGGGTGGGAGCAGGGGGATGGGGAGGGGGACCCACCAACCTAGAATTCTATACCCTGCAAAATTACCCTTCAAACGTGCAAGAGAAATAATGACTTTCTTAGACAAAAATTGAAGGAATTTGTTGCCAGGAGACCTGCCTTGCAAGAAATGTGAAAAGAATAACAGGTCCTAGAGAGGGAGGCTGCAAAGAAGAAAAGATAAAATTGGGTAAAGAGAGAAATGGGGCAACAAAATAGCACCCACCTTATAAGGTTGGTGTAAAGATTAAACTGAATGATCTGCATTAAGTACCTTGTATAGACACACACGCGTTGCACAAACGTTGGCTGTTAATGTGGTTTCAGTGCTGGCTCAGGGACCACACACGGCTTAGACACCCCAGGGCACTGCTCCCCTGACGCTTACAGCTTAGGACAGTGTTTCATAAACCATGAGCTGGGGCCCACTCATGCAGGGGCTCTTCAACTTTGTGTGCCCTGTCCCCCCATGCAGTCTGATGAACCCCATGGTCACCTTCTCAGAAAAATAATTTTAAATGCATGAAATAAAATACACGGGTTTACAAAAGAAGCCTATTGAAATATTTTAACACTGTGATATAGTAATACATGTGCTTCCTTATTAACAAATAACAAGATCTAGCAGTGGGTCTAGTAATTGCCAAAACATTGAGGTCATGCAGAGCGTAAATGCTGCTTTGAGTCATCTGCAACAGCCATAATGCAATACAGAAAAATCTATGATTTCTATTAGTGACGATGTCGCAAGTACTGTTAATACTACTATGATTTGCTGCCCATATTCATAACTGAAGGAAGTGTTGCATTTCAGCCAGAGGTCAGTGAAGATAAAGATACAGAATTTTGTCCCATGCAAGTTCACAGACCCACGTTACAAACCTGGTATTAGGGAACTTTGAAATTTATTTCATGGGTCATGACTAGTACTTTTTTTTTAAGTTTATTTATTTATTTTGAGAGAGAGAGAGAACAGAGGAGGAACAGAGAGAGAGAGAGGAGGGAGAGAATCCTAAGCAGGCTCCCCATGGTCAGCGCAGAGCCCAATGTAGGGCTCGAACCCACCAACTGTGAGATCATGACCTGGACCGAAATCAAGGGTTGGACACATAACCAACTGAGCCACCCAGGTGCCCCATGACTAGTACTTTTTAAATGAGGGAATAGTATAGGCTGGAATAGGATAGAATAGAACAGAATAGAACAGAATAGAATAGAATAGAATAGAATAGCACAGAATAG